GATCACCTTTTAAAAGCAAAAAAAAAAAAAAAAAAAAAATTCCAGAACATATAGGGCCCCAAGGATTTTAGGTGAGGGATTATAAACCGGTGTCACAATCTCCACTTTACAGATGAGAACACGGAGGCACAGAAGGGTTAGGTAACTTGCCCAAGGCCACACAGCCAGGAAGTGGCAGAGCCAGGATTGGAACCAGAGGGTCTAACTCCAGAATTGTGCCCTAAAAAGCAAGCTGCCTGCCTCTCCCACCCTGAGATTTAAGAATCGCCCCCGCCCCCACTCTGCCCTGATTTCTCCTTTAAGTACCAATGACTACTTAAAAAAAAAAAAAAAAGATTAAGGTCCGGGGCTCCAGGATAAACAGAAAGAAGGTGCAGGTCTGAGGGCGGACAGCGCGGACCGTTTATTTCTAAAGGGAAGCGCTGGAGTTGGCTGGAGTCGAACGTGGGCTAGGGGTAGTCTGGAAATCCAGCGGCTGAGACACCTCAGGCGCAAAATTTAAGGAAGCGTCCCTCTCCTGTTTCTCTATGCCCCTGGGGGTGGCAGAACCTCCCCCATCCCAGGATGGAGGGGATGAAAGGACGGACGGTGACGGTGACGGAGGAGGAGAAAAGCAGGGCTCTGGTCTGAGGCTGGAGGTCGGGGGAGACGCGGGCAGGCAGGAAGGCGGGGCTCAGGCGCCGCCTGGTGGCGGGGTGAGGTAAGGCCGCGCACCCACTCCTGCCCCCAACCTAATTCCGCTGCCCACGGGGGTGGGGACACCTCTCCCTCCCCTCCCCTCTCACCAGGCTTCTCCTTGGCCAGCTGTTTATCCAAGGCAAGGGTGGTCTTCTCCTCCTGAATGAACATTCGGTCGATCATTACCATCTCCGCTGAGGGGCTCACCCTCTGGGGGGTGCGGGGGGAGAAGAGAAACGGGGAAGTGAACAAGGAGGGGGAAGGGGACGCCAGCGACCCAGGCAGGGGGCGATGCGAGCAGCTTTCAAACTGTCCTTGTGATCTGACCACCTGCCTCCCTCCCAACCACCCTCCCGAGGCTAAGAGGAGTGGACAGGGGAAAGGGCAGGGTCCCAGCAGGGGAGGAAGGCGACTCCGACCCTACCCGGGACTCCTCCAGGAGCAAAAGCCGGTATTTATTGAGCATGGCCTGGGTGCGTTTCAGCAGCTGCGTGGAGACCGTCTCAAACTCCTCATCCACTGCGAGGAAGAGAAGAGATACAGGGGCGGAGATGCTGGGGGGCTCAGCTCCCGCCGTCACGCACAGCACGCGCCTGTCCCCACCCTCACCTGGAGGCCTCACCTTTGTGGTAGTCGTTGGGGGAGGGGAGAGCACCCTGGTAAACGTGGTAGGGCAGGAGGCGATGCAGGGCGTCCTCGAAGGAGGGGAAGGCTGTCTTGTAGTCGGGGTGCAGGACTGAGCCCTGATGTTTGTGCAAATGCTCCAGGAAACTAGGGGTGGGGTGGGGAGAGACCACACACACACAGCGGGGGGTGAGGGCCCAGAAAAACCCAGTGTCCTGGACCCCCAGCCCCAGGCCACAGCTGAACAGGACAGCAGAGGGAAAAGGAATGCTTGGGAAGCTCGCATGTGTCTCACTGAATCCCTGGCCACGACCAAAGGAAGTGGATGCTGTCATCACCCCCATTTCACAGAAGAGGAAACTGAGGCCCAGGGAGAGGAAGTGAAGTCACTCGTCCCCAAAGCACAGAAGAGAAGAAGAGACAGAGCTGGGAGCCAGAGGCGGGAGCTGGTGCTATTCCCTCTGCCTGTCCCTGCCTGGCCTGGGAGCAGCTTCCCCGGGAGAGGCTGGTCGGCGGGTTGGTGAGATCTGTTCTCTCTCCGGCCTGCTTTTGTCCGCTATGGCCATGTCACAGCCCGCTGTGTCTCTCTATTGTGTGACTGTCTCTCCCACCAGATCAGCCCAACTCCACCCTCTGCTAAAGACCAGCAGCCCCTATGCACCGCGGGGCAGGGGCTATTCCCCGACCACTGTGTGAAATTCACACTCGCGGTGGAGGGGGCGACGAAACCGCACAGCTACCCAGGGCTGAAGCTGGCATCGGCACTCAGGCCTGCCCGACCCGCTTCTGAAGGGGGGCCCCCACGCCCCGGACGAAGGCGCAGGTTGGGGTGCATGGCGGGTACAGCGACTCACTTGGCTTCCTTGCTGGGCTGGAGCGTGGGGGGCTTCTTCAGGCTGCTCAGCTTGCTGTCATACTGCGGGGAGAGAGGCGGGTGAGCCGCACGGCAACACGACGCCTTCCCCCGGCGCCCTGACCCTCTCTCCCTCCAGCCTGGGACAAAGACGTCTCACCCGGGTGGGGGCCTAGCCCCAGCTGCGGGATCCCATGCCCATCAAACTAAACCTGCAGGGGAGGAGAGGGTGACAGGCAGGCGCAGCCCCAGGCGCCCTCCACCTGGGTCCCCTCCGCTCCCTCGCCAGGGGCTGCTCTCTGTGCGCCTCACGCGCCGTGTCAGGCGGCCCGTCTCTTCCACCACCCGCAACTCTGACCTGCGTGGTCTCTCTCCGCTGCCTGCCCTGGGCTCACCTCATTTTGCCCCAAAGATCTTCACGACTCCCCCTCTGGTCTGCGGTCTCCCCTCTTGGCCTGGGCACAGCTGGTCTCTGAGTCTCTCCCAACTTCTTGGGTCCTGGGCCCTCTGACCTTTGCCCTCTACCTGTCTTCCCATCCCCCCGCGCCCCACAGGCGGCCTCTGCCTCGGTCTCCCGCTGCTGGCCTTCGTTCTCAGTGTGGCCTCCCTGCCTCTCATCCCACTGTCCCGTCGGGTATCCACCTCTCCTGTCCTGAGCGGATCATCTTGTAGCCTCGACCCAGTCCCCTCCTCCTGTCTCGGTGACCAGCTCTAACGCTGTCACCCAGCAGTCTGGGTGCCCGTTTGTCCCTGTCCACCATCCCAGCGTCTCCGCCATCTCTATCCACGACCTGTCTAGCTGTTCTGGGGTCTCAGCTGTCTCTGTTTGACATTCCTATTTCATCCCCTTCCCGTTCTTCTTGGTGTCTCCCTGCCCTGCCACCCCGAATCCCAGTTCCCTGACGACATCCGGGTCCTGCCCTGACCCCTGCTCTGAGGGCCTCTTACCTGCAGCCCGGAGGACTTCCCTGGCCCCGACGAAGCGGCCTTGGCCATACTCAGGGTTGGGAGGTTGCTGGCAAAAGCTTTGTTCTCGGCAGGAAGCAGAGGAGGGAGGCCTGGGGGTGTGAGTGCGGAGGTGGGGGGACAGGGCCCAGGGTCACTGGCACGAAGGCCCCTCCTCAAACGTGAGCCCCAATCCTGCACCCTCCACTCTCCTCCTGCCCTTTGGCCCCCTCAGAGCTGGGGAGGCAGCCCTGCCTTCTGCACCTTCCCTCGGTCCCCTGAAGTCTGGGTGACGCCCCAGCTCGTGTGACCCATAGCTCTGCCCCAGCCCATCCTCCCTGCCAGCGCCCCACCCACCCACCTCTCCCCTACCTGCGGTGGCCATGGGTGCTGGGGCCGGGGCATGGCCAGGGGCGGCGGGGGGCCCGGACGGGGCCTGCCCGCTGACCAGCACCGAGGCAGCCGGGCTGGCGAGGGGCCCCAGGCTGGCGGAGGTCTGCGGGGTGGCGGGGGCTCCCCCGGCCTTGTTCTGGAGAATGATTCCGGACGGCACCTGAGGAGGGGACAGGTGGTTGAGGGGCGGGGGGCCCAGGCTAGGAGTGGGGGCG